TCAATTTATTAGAAAGTAATATTTAATGTTTTTTTTTGCAATAAACAAACTAGAGATTATATAGATATTATATATATATAGATAGATATATATATATAGTATATATATATATATTAATACTTTATTTTATTTTATATTCCAATAATTTAATTTATTAAGTTAGTTCATATTTTTATTCTAAACAATAGAAAAAATATATAAATCTTAAAAACATTTAAAAAGATAACATCTTATTATTATAATACAACATAGTGATATTACATATAATAAAACGTTTCCCAAATATGCTCCATTAAATCATGTCGAAGAGCATGATGTACTGCATTATCACGTAGTTCAGAGTTTCTTTGAATTTGATACTGAACTTCTTCGACAGGTCCTCGATTCACACGTATAGGAGGATCAACATCATCTGACAATTACTAATTGCATTTCCTTCATTTTCTACGATCATATTATGTAATATAATGCATGTATACATTATATCCTTTATGTTTTTTAAGTTGCCAAGATCTTGCTGGACCTCGTACAATTGCCCAACGAGATTGAAGAACACCAAATGCTCTCTCCACATCCTTTCTTGCAGCCTCTTGCATTCTTTAACCTTGATCCTTTTTGGGTCAGCGGATGGTGGAAAACTTTTAACCATTGTAGCCCATTCAGGATATTACCAACTGCAAGATAATATCCTTTTGTGTATGTTCTTCTATTACAGTAAAATTGCATTCAGGAGCATAACCTTGTAATACATCATTGAATAACGGTGACTGGTTAAGTACATTAATGTCAGTTAGACCCGACAACCCCAAATATGCATGCCATATCCAAAGGTCTAGTGATGCAACTGCTTCCAACATAATTGTTGGACAACCTTGATCACCTCGAGTATATTGACCTTGTCATGCAACAGGGCAATTTTTCCAAGGCCATTGCATGCAATCAATACTTCCCGCATACCAGGAAAACCCGTGCTTTTCTGATGTTTTTGTACTAAATTTTGGATGTCATTAGCATTAGGTTTTCTCAAATAATGGCTTGAATAAACCTCATTCACACATCAAAAAAAGTTTTGTAGACATTCGATTGAAGTTGATTCACCAATTTGTATGTATTCATCAAAGAGGTCACTAGTTGTGCCATACAACAATGCATTTTTGTAAAGGGAAAGACCATTGTTTCCTAAAACATCTTTTCTTTGCTGAAAATAAATAGAATGGTTAGAGATACCGTTAACTATTTGAACAAATAGTTCTCGCCTCATTCGAAATCTTCGTCTAAACGTTTGAGGTGGGGAAAACAGGATGCTCATCGAAATAATCTTTCCAAAGACGTTTATGCTCTTCTTCATGATTTCTATCTATATATCTTCGACTTTGCCGAGGACGTCTTGAACTTTCAGCATCTGACTGTTCTGCTTCCAAGCATTTTAGCTCCTTATATAGTTGAAATGTAGAATTACTTGTGAGATGGTTGATTATGAATTCAGAAGCAGAATCATCTGAGGATGATGATGACATCGTATAAGAAAGATACAAGAAATAGTTTGAATTGGTAGGTATGAAATAATAAAAAGGTTGTATTCTTTTATAGCAAAAATATAGAGTCAAATGAAATTCAAATTAAATTAAAATGAAATCCAAATTATATTCGAATGAAATTGAAATTAAAGTAAAATGAAATTGAAATTAAAGGGAAATGAAATCCAAATTAAAGTTAAATGAAATTGAAATTGAAGTCAAATGAAATTGAAATTAAAGTGAAATGAAATCCAAATTAAAGTTAAATGAAATTGAAATTGGAGTGAAATGAAATTAAAATTAGAGTAAAATGAAATTCAAATTAAAGTAAAGTGAAATTCAAGTTAAAGGCAAATGCTTACAAGATGTTCAACTCTACAAATAAAGACCAACATATTCTATTCTCATTCACACCTGCCAACCATCTGATACACCAATCATGAATCCAAATTACTATACACACTTTTTATGTTCTTATGATCCAGAAAATCCAAACAATCATCCATAACATCCATACCCAAATCCAAACAATCATTTACAATATCCATATTCAAGTCCAAACAATTATCCACCAATATCCATACCCAAATCCAAATAATCATTCACAACATTCATACCAAAATGCATACCCAGGTTCTACCAGCCCGGATCCTCCCCATATTCCAGAAAATGAGCCAACACCAACAGAAACTCCTACCAAGAAACGACAAAAAAAACAAAAAAAAACTATTGGAGCAAAGAAGAAGAAATGTTGCTGGCAAAAGATTGGCTACAAATTTCAGAAGATAGCATTACTGGAAGTCAACAACGTGATAAAGAGTTCTGGCGACGAATTAGTGTGTACTATGAAAAAAGCAACACGTCGAACGTTGCAAGAACTCAAGCCAACCTCAAAACGCATTGGCATTACATGAACCCATTTGCAGTTGCATTTAATCAAATGTATATAGTGTTGAAAAGTCAACACCTCAGTGGATGGTCTGAGGATGATCTTTAACGTGCAACTTTTGAGCATTATCATGCTAGATATGGTGCCGATTCTAGGCACGAACATATTTGGAATATCGTTAAAAATGAACAGAAATGTAAAGGTTCAAGCACTGCATCTGGGGCATCTATGTCTTCATCAAATACATAATCTTCATTAACCTGGATAATGATTAAGTTACAACTCGTCCAATTGGTAGGAATGCAACAAAAGGGAAAGCTACCAATTCACTTCGTCATCTGGTAATAGGCTTGATGAAATACTTGAAAAACATATAGAAGAAAATAAAAAGACTTTTGAACGCTATCAAAACTCTTGGATATGAAGAATGCATTGAAAGAAAGAAAGATGAAAATTAAAGAAGAAAAGGTAAAGAATGATGAAATTTCAATCATTTTCATGGATCCCTGTACCATGTGGAAGATGGACGTGAAATTTGGGAGAAACCTTTGTGACGAGATTAAAATAAAATACAATATGAAGTAAAATTTGTATTTTAGATATTGTACTTTTTATTTAGTATATTATTTGTAACTTTTAATTTCTAAATTGTAATCTTTAATTAATATTTAGTAATTGTAACTTTGAATTTCAATTAATGTAATATTCTAGTTGTATTTATTAATATTATTTATAAAAAAAATTAAACATAATGATGTGGAAATCCATTGAACTCTTAAGAGTTTAATGAAGTGTAGAGTTAATAGGTTAAATGGTATAATTAGTGGAATGTTGATGTGACAATCCATTGAACTCTTAAGAGATGAAATTAGGTTTTTTCTTACGATAGGAAATTTTGTAAACAATCTTATTTATTCTTTTTAAGATGTTCCTTGTTGTGAGTGGGACAAGTCACTTTTCATTGTTTGAAAAGTTTTCCCTCTGTGTAAACAGTCAAACAAGGATTGTGGTTGTGGTTTTGAAGAAACAAAAGTTATATATCTTTCTTTGTATCTCCATGAACGAAAAAGAAAGAGACGGTTTTGTGGGTAATTTTTATTGGCCAAATGTTCTAAAAAATATATTTATGTTTGTAAGTTTTTGTGGGTTTTATATAAAATCGTATTTTAGGTCCAATATGTTTCAAATTTGTAATATATAGTTTTTTTTTCAATTTATTCTTTTTGCAAATTAATCGGTAAACTGAAAATTTCTATCAAACTTAAGGACTTTAATGAATCAGAAAACCAAACTTAAGGGTTTTTATGAACAAAAAAAATGGTAAAACCGAAAATTTATACCAAACATAGGTGTTTTAATAAATCAGATGGTAAAATTGAAAAAAAAAAGTTGCAAACATCCGGTTTTAATGAACCAAAAATCCGCAAAAGGATAAAACCGACAAAAACTTACAAACTTAAGGATTTTTATGTCATTATCCTATTTTATTTTTTAGGTAATTGTAAACATCCGGTTTTAATGAACCTAAAAATCCGAAAAAAGGGTAAAAACCGACAAAAACTTACAAACTTAAGGATTTTTATGTCATTATTCTATTTTTATTTTTTATTTTTTAGGTAATTGTAACATCTCAAAAATCATAGATAAAAATTTCATTTTAATTCAACCTAAACCATCAAATATTCATAACAAACCATCCAAAAATATGTCATGGTAAAATAGTCATCAGAGTACAATTTTAAAAATCATAAAAGTGCGAAAAACATGAGTAGATGTAGTGCGATCAATGCCAGACCATTTCCTTTCGATTTCCTAATAGTTAATCATAGCCAAAAGTCACAAATGACATAAAGATTCTTAAAAAACACAGGCAAAATACATACTTTATTGCATGTTTGTTGTTTCTAAAAACCGTTTTAGGCTCTCTCACTAACCAACCGTCATGACGGCCAGATAATATTATAACAACCACAACAACAATAAAGACAACAAAAACATTGAGAGTAGTTTGATCTTTTATATATATATAAATAATATATATATATATTATATATATATTGGCATGCTAATCATCACTATGTAAAAATATAACTACAAAAATTAAAAAACGCGACCAACTTTCACTAGATCATTTGATGGTCACGAACAACTTGGATTATTTAACGTATTTACTCGTTACAAATATATCACATATATTTACTATTTCAAATCCATTTTGTGTTACAAAATGATATGTGCTTAACAAACGTACAAACCGTTATCAGATTTCACGTGTCAAAATTATTTTACTTCAACACTCACGATCTTCAAACCAAAACCCCTCCAATTTTCCACCAAGCTTTAGTTAATCAATATCCGAAATTAGGATTTTGAAGATTAACCAACCCGTAGTAAGCTCCATTGGGCCCTTTCGCTAACAACGAACTATGATTACCTTTTTCGACAACCTTCCCTTTCTCCAAAACCGCAATCGTGTTACAGGTTTTTATGGTACTCAATCGGTGAGCCACCACCACACTAGTCCTCCCACCATCATTCGCTCCAATGCATACTGAACTACTTTCTCCGATTGACCATCTAGTACACTTGTGGCTTCATCCAGTAACAAAAACCGTTGGGTTTTTCAATATGGCACGAGCTATTGCAACACGTTGTTTTTGTCCTCCGGAGAGTTGTACCCCTCGATCACCACACCGTGTATCATATCCGTCTTTCAAAACCGCAATGAAATCATGAGCATTGGCTGCTTTGGCAGCCTCAATGACTTCTGATTCACTAACTTTTCACGAATAGTACCAGCGAATAAAGCAGGCTCTTGGCTTACAAGTGCGATATATTTCCTAAGGGTTCTCAAATGATACGACCTTATATCTCTTCCATCAACTTTGACAACTCCTTTCAAAGGGTCGTACAAACGTTCGATCAACCCAATGATGGTTGATTTCCCAGACCCACTTTGTCCCACCAATGCAGTTGATTTCCCAGCTTCAATATCGATTGAGAACCTTTTAAATATCATGACATCAGGCCGAGCAGGATACGCGAAGTCCACATCGCGTATCTCTATGTGGCCTATAATGATCTTAGGAATTTCACCATCAGGGTCTTCAGGTTCTATCAATGTGTGACGGTCTAAAACTGCAAACACAGACTGCACCGCATCAGACCCTTTGGCTAAGTCGTTTGTCATGGTCCCAGCATCCGCAATCACCTTGCCTGTGCTTACTAAGATGAAATACGTCTGGAAAAGCGCTTTGGCGCCAAGATGACCGGCGCTAATCAATTTCCCAGCTAATCAATTTCCCAGCATACCAAAAGTCTAGAGCCCAAATACAAGGAATAAGACTTTGAGTAAATGCGAGCCCAAATCCAGCATACCATGCTTGTCGAATGCTTTCTCGCATCGGTGCTTTTTGGGTTACTTGGAGCATCTTCAGGATTCGTGGCTGAGATGAAAATGCAGTAAACTGTGCGCAAATTCGAGACCGCTTCGGCTGCGAGCTTGCTACTTTCTTCCTGTGCTTTCATGGCTTTTTGTAACATGGTTTTTAACAAAACTCGTTTGCTATAGAAACCTATAATTACAATCGGCTGAACAGCGATCATAACTAACGCTAATCTCCATGCGATCACCAACCCTAATATGAAAGCAACCGTCACAGCAGAGAATGTTTGAATTAGAAGTGAACATCGATCACTCACCAAAGATCGCACCTACAAAATCATCATTGACATTCACTTTAATTAACAAATATTGACAAACCTATAATTAAATAATAAATGATTTTACAAAATTATTTTTTATATGTAAGGTTCTGTTATTGTTAATAACATGAAATAAATCATGAATTGCATACCACATTTGCATCGTTAGCAAGTCTGGAACAGAGGGCTCCGGTTGAATTTTCTTCCTTATCGAACCACCCGATTTCAAATGAGAGTATCTTTGACAACATCTTTTCGCGGACCCTCTTGGTCAAGTACTCACCCATGGCTGCAAAATTGTAATGTTGAATGATGTTTATTGTCATCGTGAAAACTGCTAGACTCGCAAACCACAATGAATAAATCATTGTGCTGTGTTTAATCTCATCGTGATCAACCAAGAAATACACCGATATCATAGACCCCATTCCAAAACCATATACTGGCTGAACTGCTCCAAATAGAATGGCACCCACGCTCCCACACAACGCCTGCCTAAGTTCAGGAATGTTCATTGCTAAAAGCCTCTTGAAAGAAGGTACTGGAAATACTTGGTCCTTTTGTGAAGCAAATTTGTTTTCTCCACCATGGTTGATCAAGTTTGAGCTGCTCACATTAATTGACCTTCGACGGTTGCTCGTGTTGTGGACATCATATGTGGAGGAGACCGATGAAGGTCCTGATGGGGATGGGGAAGAGGAAGGATTACATGGTTCATCATTTGTTTAGTTTCTTGGAGGCGAACGAGGGATGTGTAGAAACCATTTTCAAGTTGAATGAGGTGGTCATGGTGGCCAAACTCGACCACCTGGCCATCCTGGACCACCACTATCATGTCGGCGTTTCTAATTGTAGAAAGGCGATGAGCTATGACTATTGTCGTTCGACCAACAGACGCATGATCAAGTACGTCCTGAACGACTCGTTCTGATTCAGAGTCTAATGCGCTTGTCGCCTCGTCCAAAAGAAGAATACGAGGCGACTTGATAATTGCACGAGCAATAGCAATTCTTTGTTTTGCCCACCCGACATCTGGATTCCTCTTTCTCCCACCTATTATTTACAATAGATACATTAGTTATACAAATGGTAATGAACTATAATTTCAATTAATATTTAAAGTAAATACTATAAAGATAAACAAGCGTAACGTTTAAACAAATTGCTTGTCTATGCAGTATGCAACTTTTTTACTATATTTTCATTTTATTTTAATTTACTCAACAATGTTTATCTTCATATATAATCTGTAACAACAACTGATTTATGCAACTTGCCAACATGAAACCACGTATGAGTATGACGCTACAAATGCTTGTTAATTTTTTTAGACATGTCTCCAATCTGTTTTATTAAAACTGTAACACAATGTGCTCATAACTAATTACAGGTTAACATGACTGATTGATTAGACTGGTCAATTATAAATTGTCGTATATTTCTTATCAAAAATATTTTTGAGGAACTAAAAGAAAAAAAAACGTGGTTATTGTATAAATAAATAATTAATCTTTTTTATTATATTAATTGAAAAAACCTTCTTCGATCTATGAAATTATGCAAAACCTAGGTTGTTACTTGATGAGACCCAAAACATTTTTTTATTCTTCAAGGTCTCCAAGTCTTCCCTAAGAAATAAGGACTTTTCCCATTAGACTAATTGCCTTGTGGATCATGTGCAACAGCGTTTTCATGTACAGTTTATCTTATTTTTTATATTGCAATAATATTCTTTTGTCTTGTGCTTAGTTTTTTATAACTTCATTAGACATTAGAGTTGACTATTGTAACACATATTAAATGGAAGATATTAAACAACGTGTTTGTATCACATCTTGCCCGATTAATTTATCCATAAAGGATGGCCCTTCGATCCAAAGAATCAGGATAGAATCTCATCGTTGATAAATAAATCCAAAGAATCAGGATAGAATCGTTGATAAATAAATTTATTGTCTAAACAAAGATATTTCGGCCAGGTTCCAAAAAATATGAAGAAACATGATCAAAGATATTTTGATAATATTTCGGCCAGGTTCCAAAAAAAATGAAGAAACATGATCAAAGATATTTTGATAATATTTCGGCCAGGTTCCAAAAAAATAAATTTATCGTTGATAAATAAATTTATTGTCTAAACAAAGATATTTTGGAACCTGCCTATCTAAACATTTTGTAATTTGTTTGTTTTTTTGCCTTGCCTTGTAGCTTGATAGGCAGTGGTTTTTAATAATATTTCGGCCAGGTTCCAAAAAAAATGTCCTAAATAATGTAAATATTTGTTAATTGCCTCCGGTGACTGGCCATTTTATTTATATATTAGAAAGAATGAAGAAACATGATCAAATTTATTATCAATTTATTGACGTATGTAACAATAATGACATAAACATCGAATTTTAAGTTTGAAATTTAAATTAATTTCCAAATTACTGCTCATATTAGTTTGACTTCGATATTTGTATTCTCGTGAGGTGTTTGATAGAATGATGGAAAAAAAAAACCTGAGTGTCATAGGTCTGAGGCAACTGAGAGATGAAGTTATGAGCATTTGCAGCTTTGGAAGCTTCAATGACTTCTTCCATGGCAGCATCTTCCTTGCCAAAAAGTATATTCTCTTTTATGGTGGTCGCAAACAGAGCAGGCTCCTGACTCACCAAACCCATTTGTGATCTTAACCATTTTAACTGAAGCTTATTAATCCTCAACCCATCCACACAAATCTCTCCTCCTTGAGGATCATAAAACCTCTGCAACAATGCAATCACCGTCGATTTTCCCGATCCACTCCCACCTACCAACGCCACCGTCTTCCCTGCTGGAACTTTTAAGCTAAAGTTTTTGAATATCACCGATTCCGGTCTTGATGGGTACGCAAACTTTACATTCTTGAATTCCACTTCTCCGGAAACTTTTTGTAATATTTCCCCTTCCATGTTATCTGAATCAATCTCCGGAACTCTTTTTATCACTTCCCTTATACGTTCACTAGCTGCCATTGCATCGGAAAAGTACCTCAGGTTCGATAATGCATTTCCGAGGGATCTGTCGTTATTGGATTTATTAAGACATACATAAAAATCCATTTCAAAAAAACAAGATATGCAAGTATAATGCAGACAACCTGTTTGATGAAATAAGAGAAGGAAAAAAAATTACATTCCACCATAGGTGATGACAGCTCCAACAGCATACACAGTTCCACCTCTTGCTCCATCATACATCACCAGCCTACTACCATACCAACACAAGAAAGACCAGACGATATAAGACACACCATTGCTTCCAATCGCTATTCCTTTAGCCAATCCTTGCTTTATTCCCAACTTCACACTTCCTTCTAGAGCAGCAGAGTACTCTGTTAAGCTCTTATTTTCACCGACAAATGAATAAACAGTCCTCACGGAAGAAATCGCCTGTTCCGCCACCGCACCAGCCTTATTGTACTCCTCCCTCATCTTTCTTGATAACCTCATCAGAACCCTTCCGTAAATCAAACCAGGTATAACTAAAACTGCAATAAATGGAAGCGCAACAATTGCTAGCCTCCATAGCAATACAAACGCCACAACATATGCCCCACAAAAAAAACGACACATACATCACGAAGACAGGCACCTGCGTTTTTGTTTCCACATAAAATTACAATTTGAGTCAAACCCTTTTGAATGAATCACCAGAAGTCTAACGTACCTTTTCGCTGATGACTTCTTGTATGATGAGACTATCACTGGAAACACTTGTAATGATCTCTGCTGTGCTTGTAACATTCAAATCGAAATACGCCACCTCCTGCCTTAAAACTGCTTTCAAATAATTCGACCTCAACTTTGATGCTTGCCTCTCTGCTGTTCTTGCCCAACAATACCCCTCTGCAACAAAACTCATTTAATCGAGGAATGATAAAACAAAATGGAAATCGAGCAAAACCTACCAACAAAACAGGCAATCCATTTCCCAATAGCTAAGAAACAAAGATATTGTGCATTCTGCAAACATGAAATAAAAACCCCGTTAGATTGTTGATGATGATTAATTAGTATATTGATTTAACATTAATTAACCTTGTTGATTTTGTCAATGAAGATATCTTTGGATAAAGAAGAGAAGTCTCCAATGCTGTTCATAATGGTGCTGGTGAAAAGAAAATTGGCAGGCGTCGCAATTCCGTCGCAGAAGGCACCTAAGAAACCAATAGCCATCAGAAACATGTCGGCAGCGTCGGCATGCATGAAAATGGATCGGAATGATCCACTGCTGCTGACTTTCCTTCTGGTCTCGGTGTTCTGTTTACTCATGTTGAGTATTGACAGGTGTGAAGAGTAAGAGCCCGAAATGCACAGGAACAAAGGTTTAATCGGACTTATAAGTTATAAGGGAAGTGAGATGGAATGTGCATTTATTTTTAATGCATGTGTTTGTGATAGGTTTAGCACGTTGAGTTTATTTATTTATAAAAAAATAAAAATAGGGTATTTGAGAAGTAGGTTTAAAAATAGAAAAAACTTCATAAATGGTCTTGTGTTTTCCAAAAATCTGACATATAGTCCTTAAGTTCAAAAAACCTTTCAGATGGTCCTTGTGGTTTCAAAATTTTTAACAAACGATCATTTTTGTTGACGGCATCACTTTTGACTGTTAACTACTATTTGATTAAAATAAAAGGATATTTACATCATTTCACTATCACAGAGACTATTTATGAGATTTTTGTCTTATTTAAAAAAATGAAATATGTTATTTAATATAGAAAGGTCTCTCACTCAAAGCATTCTACAACCCATCATCTTCAAACCAATTGAACCCATCATCTGGATTTGTTCCTCAACATCACTAATACATGTAAACTAAAATCTATTAACAAATTAAAGGGAAAAACAAAACGAAGAAAGAAATTGACTGATTACATTATGTTAGTATAAGCAAAAAGCTCTCTCTCTCTCTCTCTCATTTGATCGTGTTATTAATTTACGTTCTATTCTTCGAAGAGAAGTTAGGTATGATATCTAATACGAGTCCGATGGACTAGGGAAAGGGTTGCAAAACTACAGACCCCGTTCCAATAGTGACATGGAGATCAAATATCTTTGATATATTCACTGGTAATTACAAGGGTTATCTTATCTTTGCGGTGGCTAAATCGACTCACAAACCCAACTCCAAATAAGCTTCAACCGTTTCTATTCTGCATCAACCATGTTTGTATTTTTTGGTTATAATCCCCCCTCTCTCTCTCTCTCTTGATTATCTTTCTCAATTGGTAACCTACATTGTCGGTGGCTAAATCGACTAGAATGGATGTTTGAAGGAAAAAGGTGGTTCCGAGCAGAAGTTACAACTATTACACAAATCCATCACCAGAACTTGGTTGGTTTACTTGGTTTCATCATAAGGGGATCTACAAAGTTTCTTGTGTACGAGTTTATGATGAAACCAGATGAATAGATTGTAGAGTCCCCTTAAACAATCGTGAATCACTTGTGAATTGTTGTTGCTTTTGGTTGAGGTTTTGATAAAAAAAAAGGAAATGGCTCCTGAAGATTCAATTATTGATTTGTTTGAATCAAGGACAATTAATACCAAAATATTTGCAACAATTGCTGCTGATAAATCAGGGTTGGGTGAACCCTGGATTGGAGATACGATTAGATTTAGCATCTTATGTACTGCTTCTGCTTCAACAATGGCGGATTTGTTTCAAAAACTGACATAAATGAAGATGAAGAAGCTCGAATTCTCATGTAAATTTCGTCAATAACATGAATTAGAAACGGGTTGTGCTATAAGTACCTCCCTTAACTAATTTTTACCCCCTAACATCAATTTAATCAATCATTTATTTTGATTTGATATCATTTTTTGTTTTTTTATTAGATTATTTTTATTATTAAAAAAATTAAAACTTTTGTAACGTCCCAAAATTCATGACTAAAAATTTCATTTTTAATTAAGTAGCTTAAAAAATTGTTTACTGAAAAACATCATCAAATCGTATCATTTCATCAAATCATAGTCACATGTCTCAACCCATAACATAAAATAGTAATAATGTCAGAGTACAATCCCATGAATCTCATAATGCGGAAATCCTGTGTGTGCATGATGCGCTGCTACTGTGCCGGCTCCTTCCCCTTCGAAGAAGAGGTACCTGAAAACAAAACTGAAACTGTAAGCACAAAGCTTAGTGAGTTTCCCCATCATACCATATACCATACAACATACATACTGTCGGACAATTCTGGGGTGCCCGACCTACCCTGCCAGGCATTTCTGGGGTGCCCGACCTACCCATGTCGAGCAGTTCTGGGGTGCTTGACCTACCCTGCCAGGCAATTCTGGGGTGCCCGACCTACCCTCAGGTCCTTACGACCGTGTCACGGGGACTACTCCCCCTACTGCTACTATCACATATCATCATATCATACTAGCACATAAAACATAACAGGTAGTAGCAAACCTAGATATTATCACAAAGACAATCATCTAGCAAACAACTCCTACTAGTGGGCCGACATTGTGACCGTAGACCCACCTCTACTAGAAGGTAACTCACCTCACAAAGCTGACTGTCGAATCTCACGGGAAGTAATCTCTAGTAGCTGCTCCGATGACTCCCGACTATCATAATCATAATAACACTCAATCAAAATCTATAACACTACTTAGGGTAAAATGACCATTTTACCCCCTTGGCCTAACTTGAACCATTCCCAAGGCCTAATTCTAACTTATTATACCCAGTGCACCCATGGCCCATCAAAGGCTCCCTAAGGGCCCACTAATGGCCCAATTTTTTAAATTGGGCCCAACTCTTCAAATGGGCCTTTTCACAAGTCTAATAAATCCTTAGCCCAAAAATGAATAATCTCGAGTGGCCCGATATGGCCCAAAAGGCTCAATACTTCTAATTCCAATTCCTAGGCCCAGAACTATACTCCACAGTGGGACACGGGGCCCAATAGTCCAGGCCCAACCCTCTAAAGCCCAAAAAGCCCAAGGTAGCCACTCTGTATGCGTACCTGCGGCGTACCTGGCACGTACGCCCAACGTACGTTGGCATTGACCGCAAACGGGAAGTTGACCCAGTACGCGCAGCGTACCAGGGTGTACGCTTAGCGTACTGGCCAGCTTTCTTGGGACTTCATTTGTGACTTAATCCATTAAGCCTTCACGTCCAATGTGACAACTCGATACTTTCTAGTCATCAAAAGTCAATTTTCGTTAAATAAAATTTCAAATTTTTTTTTTGTTCCGTTAAGTTATTGTGGGTTAGAAAATAATCTAAGATATATAGTTAGAGGTTATATAAGTTTTCAGAACCAAAAACACTCAAAAAATCAAGATTTCCCTCGAAAAATCAGCAAACTCGTCCAGCCATGCGTTTACGGCCGTAAACCCCTGGGCTGTAAACTCCTGGGTCGTAAACCCGTTTATAGCCGAGAACCCATTTTCGGTCGTAAAACCAATCGGTATAAAGGTTTTTCCTGAAGATATTCCAGGGGATATAAACATATGGTTTTATTTTAAGTAATAAAATTTCCATACCATACTGGTGATTGCTAGAGTTTTCATACAAAGGTTTTTCGTACAAAACAACGCCATACAGTACAGCCGGTGGTAACCAGGCATACAAACTAACATTTTCACATACTACTACAGAATACAGTAACGAACATACATTTTTGGTCTTAGGGTTTAAGACCACTCTGCGCTTCAAAAGAAAATATTGGATTTTCTCGAGAAGCATACAAACATTTTCACAGATTCAAAGACAAGTTTCCATTACAAAAACATTCTTATGAACTCACCAACTTAAATGTTGATACACTTTCAAAATCGCTTGTATTCTCAGGGAATCAGTAGACAGGTACGCCCGTAGGCTTTTGAGAAGACGGAGCTTATAGAGTCACGTCTTTTATACTTTTGTTATACTTTTGCTGTATACAAACTATGTATCGAACAAATGTAAATTCCTTATATATATTCAATGTAATGGTTGTGTTTACTTTTATTACTATGATGCAATTGTTGTGATACTGTACATGACGTCCTCCACCCCCGAACATTCCGCCATCTCAGTTTGGGGGTGTGACAGATTGGTATCAAAGCTATTGTTTATAGTGAACTAAGTATATCAAACCTTACATGTTATACAGCTATAAACGCTAAAGGGCCGAAGCGCTCTGAACTAAAAGTATACTTTTAAAATCTAAATATTTTATAAAAAAGTATACAAGTATACATACACACTAGAAACAGTATCACAGTAAGAACTACATAAAAGTATTTAAGATAAGTTGGACACTACGGTTAAAACCTGGATAGTTATGTAATCATATCTGGAATAAATATAACCTGATCAACTATATTTATCCGAGATATGACCAACATGTAACACCCAGAATCAGGAAGACCAGGAAAGGAAAGAAAAGCCCCAAGTCAAAGGAGTCAACTCGTCGAGTCCAAGGAGGAACTCGACGAGTCGGAGCGTGACCCGTGTCGCGGATTAAGTGACCGACTCGACGAGTCGGGGAGACTGACTCGGCGAGTCTGGTCTGGGTTGGGAAACCCTAATTTCGGGACTTGGCACCCTATTTAAGCATCTCATTTTCATTTCTAGGGTTTCATTTACAGCCCCCACTGTCCAGAGCGAAACCCTAATGTCCTCCATGGAAGTGTGAGCTATTATTGTGTGTTCTTGAGTGATTTGAAGTCTAGAAGAAGAAGGAGTTGGAAGAGCTAAGGAGTGATTGTAGATCCAGAAGGAGTCCCTCTTCCTAATCACTTTCTGGTAATCAAGCTCTTACCTTGATCTATGGTTTCTTAGATCTCTTCATGTCCCTTTTATGAGACTTTTGGGACCATTCCTAAGGCCAACCCGAGTATTGAGCCTTTGAGGATGAATAGAGATTAGATCTGAGCATTTCTGAGCTCTAGAAGCTCTGAGTGAGAAGCTTTACTCAGCTATGGATTCCTTTCATGACTTAGACCTCCATTATAGCTTGATTTTGGTGTTCTAGCCTCATAACCCCTTGCATGCACGTAAAGTCAGCAACTTTACGTGCAATGCTAGCATAAGGAGTCTAGATCTATGAGTTGGAAGTGTTGGAATAGACTGAAATCGACAGAATAGAGTTGTCACAAGGAGGACTCGGCGAGTCAGCTCATGAACTCGGCGAGTCGGGTCGCAAAAACCCCAAACCCTTCTGTTTATGAGTCGGATCAGTGAGTGGGGTTAGAAAAGGACTCAGCCAGTCTGTGTCTGTAATGGAAATGAAGATCATGGTACTCGACGAGTTCAAGGAGGAACTCGGCGAGTCCAAGGCAATCTTCTTAGCTGATGAAGATGAACTCGGCGAGTCGGTTGAAGATAGTCCCGAAGTGTTAGATGAATGAGAACTCGTCGAGTTCTCGCTAGACTCAACGAGTGGAGTCGGGGTTGTTTGGGATTTGAGGAGCATGGACTCGGCGAGTTGGTTGAACAACTC